TGTGTGTGTGTGTGTGTGTGTGTGACAGAGACAGAGGCAGAGGCAGATACAGAAATAAAGAAAGAGAGAGGCAGAGATAAAGCTGGAAATGGAGTCCTCCTAAAGCGGAATTATGTAGTAGTAGGTCCTGTGTGTTTGGGGGTCACTGTTCTGTTCTATTCTCCCTCAGCTTTGCCACTTCTCTCGGCTACCCCATGGATGCCTACTGCCGACTATCTCTTTCATCCCCTAAGGCAGCAGTGTGTCCTGGTTTCTTTGGCTTTCTTGGCAGAGTGTCTTTCTCAAGGCCTTTTTCCGTATTTATCAAAAGAGTCTATCTGTTTTTCTTCCTCATTCAAAACCCTCTTCGGTGAGTGACTATCTATGCTTTCAGACTTAGAAGCAGCTATGGCAGAGTCAAATGAGCCTGGTATTTGAGGCTGAGGATCCTCACCAGCAACATGATTCCAGGAACCCAATCAACTTTTCCTAATTATCAGTTTCCTTTTGTACAAAGTGTATGAGTATCTGTTTGGGTGATTGCACACGTGATAATTAGGCTTTGTTGCCCGGAGGAAACGCTGTCCCATTGCATCTGACTATACTTTTTTCTAAATGCTTTCTCCAACTCACTTTTTCCCCTTTTCTTTCGTGTGTGTGTGTGTGTGTGTGTGTGTGCGTGTGTGCGTGTGTGTGTGTGTGTGTGTGTGTGTAGGTGGGTGTTAAACACGTAACCTGCTTTGAGGAGCCAAGAAGCCTCTGGCTATTATGTTATCAGATATTTCACATTTATTCCATTTACACTGGGGCACACGGGTGTGTGGTAGCTTGCCCAGGGTGGCTGTAATCCCATGAAAGATACTGCTCATGGGCTGAATGCTTTTTTCCTTCCAGCGCCCAGCAAGGCTCCCTGCCAACTTTGGAAATCCTAGTTCACGGCTGAACTTGCTGGGTGTGAACGAATTCCAAAGTCTAAGGACCATGTCGTCAGAGTGCTCATGTTGCAAAGTCCTAGGCCATTTTTCATGCCTGACACATAGGAGAGAATTTCTGGAGTTGTTGGAAGGCCAGGCCTCATGGGAAGACACAGGGGAATGAGAGAAAGCACATCCATCTCCCACCTTCCCATCTTTTTACCGGAATGGACTGTGCCCGCTATTTGGGTCTATACTGACCATTGGGATGGCTTTTTGGAGCAGAACTGTGGGAAACCCAGATGTCTCCACTTTATCCACATTGGGAAGTGTTTTTAATGGGAAAACTGAGAGACAGTTTGGGAAAAAGGCCAAAGTCTGGGACACAGTGACGATAAACAACAGGAACGAAAAGGATGGCCCTGATAAGCCGAGCCTTTTACAAAGATTTCCATATAAGTTAGCCCCTAACAGTTTAACACCCCAAGGGGCTGGCACAATTATCCCCATTTTATACATCCCAGAGATGCTGAGATTTCCACTTTCCAACTGCTTGAGCACCCCCAGCCTTGTCCCATGAGCCCAGAGTTCTGGGCATTTCGAACCCCAGTAGTTTGTACGTTGTAATTGTTATCACGCTCACTGGCACGAGCCCCCATCTGCAGGATAAAGTCTGTTCCAGCCAACCAGTCTGGTAGGACCAAGTGTCCCATTCCTCTGGCCTTGTCTCTATGCCCAGCACAGACCCATCCTTCCATGCCCGGTCCTCCGCCTGTCTGCTTCCTCCCCGAGCACGCTAACGGTGTGTTAATATTTCATGATGGGCCCCTTACCCTACCAGCCCAGCATAGATCCTGAGGTTTGAGAAAATGGAGCCTCCTGCCTACTTTCTCTTCTTTATACCTTATCTGTTACTAAGATGGCTTAGGTTTCCAGTTGTATCTCCTCTGATCCTGCCAAGCACTGTGTCCCTCAGACACCCATTGCAGCTCTCATGATACTGTGACATGAACTTCTGCCCTCAGGGCTCAGAAACACCCCTCAAACAGCCCAGTCTCACCATTCTGTCCCCCCACTGCCTCCTGAGCCCTAGATCACTTCAGGAAGACACAGATGGATCTTTGGAGGCTAGTCGAGACAGAGAAGGAAGAAGACAGGGGCAAGCACAGAGTTCTGAGCAGGTGGTAGATATTAGAAGGACTTTAACATAGAAGACAGACCAACTCACCAAAATGGAGTCAATGGTGAAGGCTTGGAGATAGAATAGGAGGGAAAATGGAGAAGATCTGAATAAAAAAAAGAAGGGGGGAAGTAAAACAACAGACTCCTAAAACAGGAGAGTTGAGAGGAGTCCCAGAGAACAATGAGGAGCAGAGCAAGAACATACAAAGCCAAAGAATAAGCTGGAGCCCTACATCCGTGGGTCCGCAATCAGCACGAGAAGCTCTGGGAGGGAGGGGGCGGCTCTGAGTCCTATCCTTACACCCCTGTCCCTCCTCCTGGACTGATCGGTCATGCATAGGCACCGCCAGCCAAGAGTGCAGCCCCATACCTGTCACGGTGAGCCTGGTGCCCATCCCAAAGTAGAGGGGCGAGTTATAGGAACACAGCTGCAGGCAGCCGTGGTAAAACCCACGGAGAGCTCCTGCCAGAAGGCAAGTCCTTGCTCCCAGGGACCGGGCTCTACCACCCTCTCCTCCTGGATGCATGGCTCTGGACCAGAGGGGTCCCATTAGGAGAAAGGTCCAAGCATACTATGGGGAAAGAGGAGCAGGCTTAGAAGGGGCACAGACACACACATAAGAAGGAAGGCTGAACCAAGGAAAGAGTAAGGAGGAAACATTAAGGACTGAAGACTCAGGGAGGAAAAATAGAGGGACCCACCAAGACACACCAAGAGGAATGGCAGCCACAGCTCCTTGGAAGCTCCCCAGGGCTAAGAGAGTTGACTTGACCCCCCTACCCCCCCCCGCCGACAACCAAGGCTGGGAGGAGAGACAGGGACCCTGTGTCCAAGAGACAATGGCCCCACACCCCAGTCCTGCTCCTTACCTAGGACAGAGAGTTGAGTGCCAACTCCAAAGTGCTGTGCCTGGTTGCTCCACAGCACAGGGAGAGAGTGACAAACCCCAGGATTGCTCTCCAGAGCCTTTGCTTCCAGAAGCCAGCTTCCATCCGAATTTCTAGGGACTCAGCACCTCCTCTGCTCACCCACACTCTCTGAGCCTTTTCCCTGCTGTGTCTCAGGAGTACTCCTGGGACTGCACTCTTCCAACACACTACCCCCAGAGCAGCCTCATACTTACCCAAGATAGAGAGCTTGGTTCCCCTTGCGAAATACAGTTTTTCATTGTTACACAACACTCCAGGCTGGTGGGAAAACTGCCCTTGGCTGCATCCAGGTCCTGCCTTCCCAGGTGCACCTGCCCGCTCTCCTCTCCCTTTCCTGCCTTCCCAGGTGCACCTGCCCGCTCTCCTCTCCCTTTCCTGCCTTCCCAGGTGCACCTGCCCGCTCTCCTCTCCCTTTCGTTAGCAGAATTTTGGCACCAGGAGGTGTGGAGGGGGGCCTAGTGTGCAGTGTGAAATGCCCTGGTCAGAGGACCGATTCAGCCGTGTGACCCCCAGCCCTTTCTCCTGTGTCCCTCTCCTTTCTGAGCCGAGGCAGAAAACATCAGGACTAAGGCAGCTCTGAGGCCAGAGGCTTCCCATCTACATGGCCATAATGAGGTGCCCTCCGAGGAGACAGGGGATGGACAAGGAGACCCCAAAGGGAGACTACCTGCCTCCCAGTAGGGGAACACGAACTTAGCATTGCCTGTCCATGAAATTACCGGAGATGGAGGCTGTCCCCACCTGTCTGCATCAAGACAAGAATTCAGAGCTTACTGATAAAAATGTGCTTTAACCTAAGCTTCCAAGATGGAGGCTCCACATGGACCCCTGCCCCTCCTTGTGGGTTCCCAGCCCTCCGCCCTGATGCACTTACCTACAACAGTGAGCCGGCTCCCCTCCCCAAAATGGAGGATGTTTCAAAAGCACAGCCTCCCAGATCCACTTCAAAACCTCCCCATCTTCAGCTGGGATTCGGGGACAGATTGGTGCGTTCGTGGAACTCTTCCCTCCCAGAGCCACCAGCCCGGCTTCATATTTTCCCCACTCCCTTCCAGAGCTTGCCCAGATCCCTGGACAGTTGGAAACAAGGAGCCACACAGTGTGGCTTCCTATATAATCCAGAGCGAGGAAAGTTAGGAAGCCCCTGCGGAGAGTCCCAGTCCACGAGGAAGACAGACCTATGTCGGTGTTCATTAATTGCCCTCTGGGCTTTCTCTAGGCTTCCCTCTGTCAGAGAACTACTCAGAGGGGCAGTACCATTTCCTTTTCCTCCTCTGCCTTAACCACTGAGGCTCAGCTCTGAGTTTACAGAGGACCCCCTGGTGGCTGGCTAGATTTGCCCTGACTGGGACCCTCCCATGTATTGGTTCCCAGAAGAGGAGATGACATCTCCTTAACCAGGACCCAAGACCTGGGCAATCCCTTCCCTCCCCCATCTCCCAGGATAGAATCCTCCCCATCACACCCTCCCTGGAGACCTCCCCACCTTACCAACAACTGTCAGCTTGGTCCCTGGGCCGAAGGTAAAATCATACACATCAGCACACGGCCACTCTAAGAATGGACACTTTGGACCTACTTTCAGCTACAAGGGGCCTGGAAAGACCCAGCGTATGTCTTACCTATTACTGTGAGCCTGGTGCCTTCTCCAAAGAAAAGTTCAGTGTTCACACAGCGACATGGAGCAAGGAAGCAAACAAGTTTGAGGCATGGAAAGAAGAAGCGGCCCTGGTTGGTCTCTGGAGGACTCTGGTATAAGAAATCCCCTCCTGTGCTTTATAGATATTGCACAGAAGAGTATTTCCAACTTTGATTCTTGGGGCCACAGAGCATGGCCAGCATCTATCCAGTGGGCCCCACACTACTTTCTCAATTCTTTCTGAGGGTCCATCAAAAGGACATGGGTCAAGAGAGAAGAGGGCAGGGTCCTGGAGACAGTGACCAGGTCCATGGATGGCCGGGATATTTTTGGCTTTTTCTTCTATAGGATGGGTCACCTTCCATGCACCTTCCCACTGGCCTTGCCCTGAGTTCTGTGGGGCTTAGGATGAAGGAGTTTCCCGGAGTCCTTCACCCGAGGGGTCACTGAGGCCTTCTGCTTACACCTGGGCTCTCTGTCTGCAAGCTTCAGTCCTGATCTAAGCCTGTCCTTATCCATGGTCTTGGCTTGACAGGTGAATAGGGGTGGGATGGAGGCATTCTGACTTGCACTACCCTCGGGCCCGTGACTCAGAAGAGTGGAGAAACTGGGGTTGGGGACAGGCAGAAAGGTTTTTGTAAAGCTTTCTCATAGAGTTGAATCACCGTGGCCCCCTGTCCCCACAATGTTACAGCTTCATACAAAAAACAGCCCCTCCCATGGTTCTGCCCATCAGAGTCTGGAAGAAACGACCCGAGCAGCTGCTCCTTCCAAGGCATTGGAGGGCAGGTCGGTGACATCACTCCCCATGTTGTGAGGTGGTGGCAGGGTACAGATGAGGCCGGGAGCGGGGGCGCCCTCCTCACCCCCATGCCCTTTCTTCAGGACACTCTTGGCTCCCCAGAGCTGTGTGTCTTTGCGAGGCCAGTTGGCACAAGGGCTAGTTTTCCCTGGTATCTGCCCCTCTGTAAACTCATCACTCATTGTGGGGAGACACCCTCCCAAGAAGAAGCAGCCTCCTTTCTACCCAGGGCCTGCCCCTGAGACTGTGTCACTCAGAGGCCACACCTTTCATCTGGGAACGGGATCCTTCAATACTCAGACCATCCCTTTGGCCAACTCTGGACCTCTCTAGGGTGGTCTGGAGGGGAACTGACATGAGCTACTCAGGGGTAGGGCTCCCTAGATAGAGACAAAACGACAGCTGAGAGCTCAGGGTATTTCCAAGGGGGTGCTGTGTGGGGGGACTGGTGTGTTGTCAGCCTGCCTCTCTGCTCGTGGACTTCAGACATCAGGGTTAGGAAAAGGGAGCCGGGGAAGTGGATGTGGAGAGAGCTGCATACATAAAGTCACAGGAACACTCAAATGTAATCACGGTCACTGCCTTCCCCTCTTTTCCCTGAGGGGCAGACACATTTAAGTTGCTGTCGATGTTTTATTTTCCTGCACAAGATGACCTTGAAATGTAACCTCCGGTTGAGTGGCCTAAATCTCATTTCACTCGATGGTGCTTCCTTTTATTGCCTTTCAAACTCTAACTTAAAATCTAGAAGGAAAAAAAAAAAGGACAGACTTCATTACATAATGATGACACACTTTCACGGAAAAATATACACAGAATCAAAAAAGAAATGACAATATGGAAAGAACATCTGCAATCCTCATCCTAAGAGCTGATCTCCCCAGTAGATGATGAACTCCTAGAAATCAGTAAGAAAATAATGCAGCAGCACAACGAAAGTGGCAAAGAACAGATGGTTGAGAGAAAAAGAAATGCAAAGGGTGCTTCACCATAGGGAAAAAATCTTGCAGACAAAAACTGCATCAAAATATCTGTTCACCGTTATTGACAACATTGAATTAGGGAAGACCATTAGCTAGTGTGTGGTGGAATATACACTTGACAAAAAATGATACAACCTAAGTGGGGACCAATTTGTAAATATCTATGAAAATTACAAATGCATTTACCTTTTCACCTGGAAATCTCTCATCTGGGTGTTTATCCTATAATTATTCTTGCATACAAGTAAAAAAAAATGTAAAATATTTGCATTATCTGGGGTAGCAAAAAGATCAGGAAAACTCAAGTACCCAATCAGGAAGGGACTGGATAAATCACCTGGGATACATCCACAAAATGGAATATTAGGCAATGTTAAAAAAGAACACAAATGTTTCCCTGCTGTGGGAAGGTAAGATATGCTGTTAACTGTAAGAAAAGCTAGCTGCGGATTTGCATTTCTGTGCACCACCTTTTGTCCCGCAAAGGGGGAGCATAAGAATTATACATTTGTTTGCTTGGTTCTGCACAAAGACACACTAGAAGGATACAAAAGAACTTGATCAAGGTGATTGCTTACTAAGACTGAGTGGAGGAGACAGAAACAAGATAGAAGTAAAAATAACATTTTTAGTTTCAACTTTATTGTTTCCATTTTTGAGCCAGGTAGCCTATCCTGACTATTTAAAATAAAACTTAATAAAAATTTTCAAGAAAATACCAACAAAGTTGTATGGTGATTGACATAACAATAAAAAATTAAAAAAAAAGAAAATACGAACAAAGTATTGCTTTAAGTAATATTTTGAAATGGTCTACTTAAAAAAACCTTCTTGTTTCATTTACAAAGTCATTATTTTTCCAAAGAAGATCAGCTTATGTAAGAAGATGTGTTATGGTGCTGACTTTGCTTATCGGGGTCTCCAATCACTCAAGAAGCTTGTGAAAAGTGCATATTTCTGAGTAGTCCTCAGGATCTTTTGTGTTACAAATCTCTAGTAGTGGGTTTATTGATATGCATTTAAATAAACAATCAAGCACAAAATTACCCTGGGTATTTCCATTTTGGCATGGGGCTTGGGACCCACTGCTTGCCCCTCCGGCAGGTGTCAGCCCTGGAGAATGTCAGAACGCTATCTGGTGGTGCCACGGGCTGGGTGCAACAACGTGGCTCCTAGAATTTAGGGAAAAAAGAAAAAGATAGTCTGTGCATTTTACTCAGGAATAGTGACGGATCTCACAACACTCTGCCATTGCCTGGATAAAGGGTCATTGATTGCTTTCAACAAGTGGAAAGTGGCAAGCTTCTTCTTTAGTCCTTTCCCACCTTGAGGAACACTTTCATCAATGTAATGATTTATTTTGATCTATTTCCACATATTCTCCTGTCCCGTTTACCCCTTTGTTTATCAGCAATTTACTCTCTAAGTAAGTTTCCTTTTGACCACCCCTCAGCCCAACTGGCCTTACAAAGTAAATACCACTCTGTCTTGGTGTCACAGCTACGTTCAATCCTGATGGAGTTTGTCTCATCTTTGCTACTCAGTCACACTGTCCATGTGCCC